TAAAGGATTCAAAATATTCCATAAACTTATTTGATAAAGCAGCAGCAGGGTTTGGGAGGACTCACTCCAATTTTGAAAAAAGTTCTACTGTGGGGAAAATGCTACCAAACAGCATTACGTGCTACAGAGATATCCTTTGTGAAAGAGTCAATTGATACAGCAAACTTCATTGTCTTATTTTAAGAAATTGCCACAGCCGCCTCAACCTTCAGCAACTACCACCCTGATCAGTGAGCTGCCATCAGTATGGAGGCAAAATCCTCCACCAGCAGAAGGTTATGACTCGTGGAAGGCTTAGATGATTGTTAGCATTTTTAAGCAATAAAGTGTTTTTAATTAAAAGACTTTTTTTAGACATAATGCTGTTACACACTTAATAGACTACAATGTAGATAGTGTAAATGTAATTTTTATATGCACTGGGAAACCAAAAAATTCATGTTACTTGCTTTATTGTGCTATTCGCTTTATTGTGCTATTCGCTTTATTGTGGTAGTCTGGACTGAACCTGCAATATCTCAGAAGTATGCCTGTATATTTCTTTTTCTTTTTGTAATTTATATCTTACACCAATATAGTAAAACATTTATCATTCGGCAAACACTGACAAAGAGTAATACACATGATTTCACCATAAATATTAATTTAGTGAAAGGTTAACTGGCTTAGTAATTTTCATGCAAATATGTCAACATCAGTGGTCAGGGAAATCAAATGACTGTTAAAACACCTCTATAGTGTTGCTTCTAACACTCGTTTATTAATTGGAACAATAAACATCCTGTTTTCTATCATCATATTTGAGATTTATGGCATCCAATAAATATAGGCATAATTATTTGTGTTTTCTTTTAAAAAAAAAAAGCATATTACATAACAGAAATGAATCAACATATTTAATGACAAGTATCCTTCTTTGGAGATGTAAGTAATTCAGTTTTATTGCTAGATTTCATTCCCAATGCTGCTGAACCTATTACCTCTGTGTTTTCCCGATAACAGAAAAAAACTTAACTATGTAAAATCAAAAAGACTGCATCGTTATTAAATTCCCCAGGAAGGGGAAATTCAGAAGAAAATTTTCATCTTTTTAAGGTACTTATCACCATCCGATTTGTTGGTCATTTGGTAATCTATATTCAAACTACACTTTCCTTCATTTGTATGAAAATGAATTAACTTCAATAGTAAGTACAAAGTCTGTTTTCTCATTATATAGTCACATCTTGAAAAATATAAAATTCCTCCAAGCATGAAGGACACAAGCATTCGAGTAAAACAAAGCAAAAAAGAAAAAAAAAAACATCCAAGTTTCTATCCTAGGCAATTCAGTAAAAATTTCCCAAGAGCTATGAAATTTTATCTAGATAGTGATCACCATTTTTCCCAAGAACAATTCTAATGCTTCAGAGTGCAAATGCAAAGTGCTATGTCAAAATCACTCACTGACTTTCCATTTCTTATTGAATTAAGTGTAACTATTCACATAGGCATTATCAGTTAGAGGCATGGGTTCTGACTTTACCTTCCCAACAGAAGGTAAAACCACACTCTTTCCTGTACTTTTCAGTCTCCTTGCTTTCACTCATATTGTTCTCTCCATTTGGAATATAAACTTCAACTGTGAAAATCATACATTTCCTTCGATGTCTATCTCAAATACCACTTCCTCATTAAATTCTAAAGCAGAATCTCTCTCCTTTTGAACTGTACAGCAGTAAAAATATGACAAAAAATTTTAAATACAATATTAGCAAATCAAAGGTAGGTATCAGATTAAGATTTATTTTATAAGTGTATGGCTGGTATAACATTAGGAAATCTATCAGCACACTTACAGTACACTAACAAATTAAAGGCGAGAGACCGTATGATATGAACAGGTACCAGAAGAGTGTGTGATAACATACAGAAGCCATGCTTGATTTAAATAGAGAGAGAGAAGGGGGGAGAGAAAGAAAGAAAAGAAAGACTTTCTAAATATAAACAAGAGCATTTGACTGAAACCAGTATGAAACACACATTAGAGAGTGAAATACTAAAATCATTCCCATAATAATGAGCAACAAGGAAAGATGAAGACTATCATTGCTATTATTTACCATTATTATTCGTAGCTTTTAGCTAATACAGTGAAAGAAAAATAATATAGATTTGAAAAAAACACATACTGACTTTTCCAGATAGCATAGGAAACCCAAAAGGACAGGATTTGGAGCTTTCAGGCTTGTGAAGAAGAATGCATCTAGATGCCAGAAAGGCAGTACACTCTGAACTCCACAGGACACAAGCTCCTGTGCTCAGGACCTCACCATATGTATCTCTTCAACTGGCTGTTCATTTGTATCCTTTAGAATATCCTTTGTAATAAATCAATAATAGTAAGCAATGTTTCCTTGAGTTTTGTGAGTCAAATTATTGAACCTAAGGAGAGGGTCATGGGAACCTCTGATTTATACCCAGTAGGCTAGAAGTCAGAGGGTATCTCAAAATAATCTAGTAGAGGTCAGGGAATTAGTTAGGGTGGATAGAGTGAGTGGTGTTATAGATGAAACAAGACTGGCTATCAGTTGGCAATTGCTAAAGATTTGTGAATTATATGTAAGAGTTCACTATACCATTGATTTCAGTGTTTAAAGTTTACTATAATTAAATATCCATATATAATTACTGACATTAATAGATGCTTCACTTGTTTCTTGAAATTCAGATGCCACTACTAATAAAATGATCTCACTGGGTTTTTCCCCCTCCCCTAAAAAATGTCTTTGATAACCGTTATTCTATGGGATCAGCATTCCTATATATATATCGAAGTTTGAGAAGTTATTTTACGTCCCATAAGCCCAGCCTGCTAGCTAACATAAACTATTAGGTTATGTTTGAGAACACATTCACCTTGTAAAAATTAAGAAGAAAAAAACTGCTACTCTGTTTCATATCCCATTAAGAATCGGTAAAACTTAAAGTCCAGCAATGCATTGTGTCAACACAAAGGAGTGGTCCTCCTTTCCTGATGGCCTTACATGTACAGTCATGTGCTACATAAGGACGTTTAGGCCAACAATGGACCGCATATATGACAGTGGTCACATAAGGTTATATACCCATAACATAATACCCATACGATAACAATATAATTTTACTATACCTTTTCTATGTTTAGATACACAAATACTTGCCATTGTGTTACAGTTGCCTGTGATACTCAATACAGTAACATGCTGTTCAAGTTTGTAGCCTAGGAGCAATGGGCTATACTATCTAACCTAGGTTTGTAGCAGGCTCTATCATCTAGGTGTGTTTAAATGTACTCTATGATGTTCACACAAAGACCGAATTGACTAAGGATGCATTTCTCAGAACATATTCCAGTCATTAAGAGACACATGACTATATATATTAACTGTCGGCATAAAGTTTGAAATCTGCTTTCCAGAAGATTCAAAAGCACCTTCAGAAAATCTACACGTACACATAATTGTCAGCAGCTGAAAGTCTAAAGGAGGAGTTTGAAGGAGAGTAAGATGACCATGCATCTCTATGCTTTAAAGGCCCCAAGGGCTTTTCAAGGCTACAATTAAATGTGGCTTGTTGTATACTGACTGATAGAGGGGATCTGAATTATTCCCTAGCTGGTGCTGCATTAAACCATTTTTCATTAGAATTCCTTTTTCCAGACAGAGCAATACAAGCTCTGCTGCCAGGTAAATGTCCTGGGAGAGATTGTCCTATCACGTAACAGATCAGGAAGTAAATTTTCATTTCACAGAGGAGTCCTTGGAGGAATATTTTAATTTTCCTTCTGAAAACACACCTAGTCCTCTTCCCTTCTAAAACTCTCTCTCTCGTGTGTGTGCGTGCTTGCTCGCTCTCTCTCACACACATATACCCCCAAACACACAGTCTATAATTAGGCCTTAGTTTAAAATACACCCAGTCGAATGGAAATAATGAATAATAATGTACCTCATCATCAGCCTGTCGCAATCGGGCAACTGCATAACGCCTCACTGTTGGATTGGTGTAATGAGAGGATAACAGCTCCAGTGAATCTTCTACATCCATTGGCTTCCATTTTCCCAGAAGTTCCAAGGCCTGTTTGGCCTCCTGAGGTAGGTCCCAATTAACACATTTCAAGAATTTTGTCAAAGCCTAAAATCAGAAAAGATTTTCAAATTAGAAACAAGAGCCTGTTCACTAGGATAGGATAGAGAAGGTCAAGAGTGCTAGGCAGAGTTCTACTTGGTCCTGGTGGCAAAGTCAGAGAGTCAATGACAGACTACTTATGTAAACACCGAATGAAGTTATACATACGATCCTGGAGAAGGCCTGTGGGACAGAAAAAAAGCATGTTCCTGTAACTTTACATTTTGCCTGCCAAACCACTTGCAGAGCACTGTAAATTTTAAAATGTATTGGCTTTTCTTCATTTTGTTTTTGTTATTTTAAAATACTACAGGCCTCAAACATGGAAATAGTTGAGAGATGTCTCATGAACACTAAGATGCCTTGGCGACAACATTCATTTTATAACATCAACAACATGATACAAACACCACATCCACTCAATGAAAGGCTCAGAACCCAAGCACAGGTAGAAATTCCCACCATTAGTCTCACTCTCCATCACGTCCCAGGGTATGATCACTGGCTTTCCTAGATATTCACACATGAGGATTCAAACAAAGTAGAATTTGTAACTACTTAAAAAGACAGGCAATCAAAAACTCAAAACATACTCATAAAAATAAATAAGTACAAAAAGCAGCAGCAAATAATCTATAATTCAGCTAGCTGTTTGCAGCATCTTTCTGGAACCTCACATCTTTAGATAGGGAGCATACTGAAGTTTTCACAAGACTGTCAGTTAAGTAAATTACCTTGGAATATAGTACCTGTTTCATAAATAATGAATGCTCTTTTAAAAATGGTACACGCTTGTTTTCCATAAAGAATGACCCCTACTGCTGGATCTCCTAACTGACAACACTTTTCCTGGCTGAACTCAAGATGTTTTCTTCTTCTTCTTTCCTTTCCTCTAAGAATTTATCTGTGAATTATCTCTTGAACAAAGACAAAACTTTAAATTCCTGCCCTGCCCAAGTAAAATTTTTTATTAGTAAATGAATCAAGTTCTCAAAAAACACTCACTCAGACAATAAAACACAACTTCTGGTTACTATGACATAAAATGAACTAAATTTTACTAAATTAAGAAAAAAAGACACTATGAAGATTTATCTAGTCCAATGCTTAAATTTTACATAACCTCAGCAAAGCTAAATGGCTTCCTCATCACCTCACAATGATGAGTGAGCTAGACCTAGAATCCAGATCCACCAACTCTCAGCCCCACGCTTCTCTCACCAGGTGGTATACCTCCTTACCATTAAGGCGCTGCCATTCCCTAATTAGCTAAACCCATGCCCCTTGGGGCCATTATTCCACCAACAATGATCTCCTAATTCCATTCCCAGTCCCTGTCAATTATTTCCTAACAATACTTCCTATATTTCCCCTCAGTCTGATTCTCATTATATAACACATCTGGAATTTGACACAGTCTCCTAGCTTAAGAGCCTCAATACCAGTTTCTCTTCTTATCATTTCACACAAATTCTTACTCAAGTTGGAAGTGATCTTACCACAAATCTCCCATTGTTAGCAGAAATTTACTCTACAACACCACTGCCAAAAAGAAACCCAATATTTACTTAAGCAATACCTGGAACTAATTTCCAAAGTAGCCGTTATATTCATAGATAGCTAAACCATTTTCTTTTGATTTTAACTATAATGAACCAAAAGACAAAAATGTCTTCACATTAACTTCTCATTGGTCAGTTTCGCTCTGAAGAGAATGAAGGTAAACTTTGCCCCACACCATGTGGACGCCTTTCTAATACTTGAAGATGATTACCATACCATTATAATGTGGATTCAGTCAGAGGATAGATATAACTAATTAACTAATATTGGTTTCTTTCTGAAAACATCCCATTGACACCTCTCACCACAACGCAAACCTCTATTTCATTGAACTCCCGTTGTCCTTCTATGCTTCAGTGCAGTTAACCAATTTTATTTATGACTCTAGCTCTTATTGACAAGCCCTCCTTATGCTCTTAACCGAAACAGTGATAGCTTCTTTAAGGCCAGCCTGCCAAAAACTCAACTTTTCCAGGAAGTTTTCAGCAACTTTCAGCTAGCTTTTCCTACGAAAGTTGGCTCAATTTTACTACCATCAGTTAAATGATGTTCTTCTAACTGCCAAATGCTTCTGTGGGCATTTTTATCTCTACAACTGGAGTCTGCATTCCCCAAGGACACCTGTCCGTTTCCTCTGCGCCTCTCGCACACCATTTAGTTTAATGCTCCCTCTCTCCATATAGATTGCCCTACTAACTTATTCCATGAATTTATTTTGCACTTCTAAAATGTATTTCTAGGTTGAATGTGGAAACAAAGCAATACTTCTTAAATAACTACAGTGAAAGCTTTTCCATTTCACAGTACATCAGCAGTCTTAATAGAAATGTGTGGTGTGTACTCATTATAGGCAAATCTTGCAGCATGCCAATGTACTAAATTCAATAACTGAAACAATCTAACTCCTAGATTCTCAGATTTATACACTTATTAGCAAGATTTATAGAGTACACTGCTGCTCAAGAACATAAGGCACTGTACAAAGAATTTCACAACTTTATAATGTTAAATGTTACAAATGTAAACAAGGAGGCAATAGAATGAAGAAGGAAACAAGGAGAAGAAGAATGAGAAAAACAAAAAGTGTAAGAATTTGAAGACAGTAATAATAATGATGACAATTAACCCCAGGTCTTTTATACATGCTTTATTGATCCACGTAAATTAAAGATACAGGATTCAAATGCAGGTTTATCTCTAGAATTTCCACAGGTAACAGAAGAGTACAAGTTTTAGAGCCAGGGTGTTTGGGTTCAAATTTTAATTCCTGGCTCCATCAATTATTAGCTGAGTCACTTACAGCACATAATTTAACATTTAAGGGACCCATTTCATTAGGGTTGTGGTAAAGATTAAGTTAGTAAATATAAAATGTTTAGAGTAGTACCTTGCATGTAATACTCAAGAAATGTTACTTCATTATTAGTTATCATTGCTATTCTATTTCTGATGTTGAGTTTACTGTCAAATGTAAACCTTACTATACTTAATACTATGTTTTATATTAACAGCAATGAATATTTTGTCAATCTCCTTCCTGATCTTAAAATCACCTTATTGTTACTTCCTATTTGTAGAATCATAATCACTTCGGAACTGACAATACTATATCATTTCTAATTTTAACTTCTACCAACTTAATTATTAGAAATTTCTATTTTGCTGCTCTTCCGATACTGTCAATTCCAAATACTCAAAAATAAAAACATCTCCTCATCCTCTTCCTTCCACCTACCATATTTCCTTATTTCAGGATCAGGCCCAAACCCCGGGAATCGTCTCCAGGTCAACTAACTTGCACAGTTTCCTTTCATTCCCTTGCCCTCCAACACCCTTCTCTAAGTCAGTACATACGTCTCTCTTTTTTCATTTTCAGCTCTGCTCCAATCTACCCTAGTTTGTCCTCCTTAAAATATCACTTGTTAAGACACTTTTTCTTGCTTTAGTGGTTTCCTGTTGCCAGTGAAATTCAATTCCCAAGGGTAGAATTCAAGGCTCATCACAATCTGATGCCATCTTTTCTATTTCATAATCATTCATACAAACCTTTCTGTCTCCTGAACCTAACAGCCTGCCTTACTCATGCTTTTCTTCCCCATGAAAAATGATCACCAAATAAAAAATGCCATAAAAGTCTGCTCAAACTTTAAGGCCAATCTTAGCTGTGAAATCTCCCTCATGTCACACAGCACACTGACCTTGTCATCTTCCACATATCTATTATAGTAACGACCCATATAGTAAACTAAGACAGTGACCCTTAATCAATTACTATCCTATACTTCTCCATTTTTTTTATTGTGTGTAAATATCCTTAAACAATTTTAATTTATATGAATACAGTGACATGATATCTCAAAGTCCAGATCCTTATATAATGCTAGGCCAAGAGTTGATAATAAATGCTTGCTGACCTAAATTCATTTCTGCTATGGTTCACCAACAAATTCTTGTCCAGAGACACAAATATGATTACCGTCCTGATGTCACTGTCTCAGAGCAGCCTTATAAGAACATTCAGAGCATTTCTATTATCTTCACTATACGTGACTCTTCCTACTGCTTTTGTTCCCTCATCATAATCAAAAGGTATGGAATTAATGTATGTTATTTTTAACTAATATTTTTACAAGAACAAAGGCCATTATAAAAGCTAGTTTTGAAAAATTACAATATTCACATTTTAGGTTCCACAGAAATGAGTCCCTTCCTACCTGCTGTGGACCACAATTTTTAAAATACTTCATAAATTTAAATGGTTGGACAACATTATTACTGTGAACTTTTTAGGTATATCAAGTCCAGACTAGATTTTCATCTGAAATACTTAAGACAGGTCATTTAAAATAAAATAGGTAGAAAGGCTAAATTTACTTAAAAAATAGAAAGTATAACTTTGTAAGAACCAATTCCTCAAATTTGTTTTCTGAGCACTGCCTTCTCTTCTCTAGGAAAGCTTTTCACCCCTAGGTTACCTGGCTTTTGGGCCCTAAGTCACAATTTCTGAGGGCCTGAGACTGAAATAATTTCTTTGTGTAAATAAATTAAGGGGCATGGGTATAAGAGTATTTGTTTTTTACAAAACCCATTTTAAATTATTACAAGGATATCAATGTGGCTGCATGAATAATTCCTTTGGTCACTTCAAAGCCTACAGATACTTGATTTACTCAAAAGTGACTCTGGAACATTAAGACATATTGTTCACTCTATACTAGTGGTCGTAGGAATCCTCTATAATATGTCCTGACAATTGAAGTTTCATCATCCACCTTTCAAAAACTTGAAATCAACTAGTTAAATGAAACTTGTCACATACTTTATATCACTTGAGAACTTTATTTCTTTTGCACATATCTAGAAGTAATTGAATTTCAGTGAGAAGTGACTACTTGTTTAAACAAACAATTTTTCTTGCAAGCCTTTCTTTCTGAGGAAGTTCTGCTCTGTAAATCTATTCTATGCTTCTTGAATCTGTACATTCTAACAGGTTTAATTCAATATCTTGGTGTGTATTTTAGATGACACTGTGCTGCATTCAAGGCGCAATATCTGTGACCAAGTTTATTCTTCATTTAACACAGTACCATGATATTAACTAAATCTTTTCATAAAACATAAAATCACAAACTTGTGCTTCTGTTGATGAATATTTCCTTTTGTTCAGTGAAGAAGAGAATAAAACTCAAAGCTACGGTAAATTTAAAATTCCTCTCTCGTTCTTATTATAGATATAAAGGAGAAAATAAACATGATTCATCTAGAAAGAATTTCCCAAGGCATCAATAAATGATAAAGAGGAAAAGCTGAAGACTTAAGATGAGCTGTAACGATATTTTTATCTTTACTATAGAAACTAATAGAAATACAAGTGGTTCAGAAAAACAAGTTAAAACAAAGTAAAGACTGTCTCATGAGATTATAAACATATTAATTCATTCACTCTTGCATAATTATATAACAGCTTCCTGACAGATATTAATTTTCCTGATGCTACTCTGTCCTACTCCTAATGCATTTCAGAATTACTGCTAAAGTACATCCATGATGTTGCAAATGTTTTCTCTACAATTCTCTTTTCTATATCTTCACTGAGTCCCTTCTCTTCTAATTCATAAATGCGAGCATATCAATCAAGAGGCAGCATTTATAAGCTTTGTAATTCCACATAGACTCCTAATCTCTCTAAGGCTCAAGTTTCCTCAGCTGTAGAACAGTGACAATAATATGTACATTGAGGAGTTGTTACAGGATTTAAAGGATTCCTGGTACATATAGCTGTTTAATAAACACTGGCTGTTATTATTATACCTTAAGAGTTAGTCCTTGGCCCTCTTTTCCAAGATTTTACAGACTATTTAAGAATTAGAAGAATCTGGGCAGGGTGGCTCACACCTGTAATCCTAGCACTCTGGGAGGTCAAGGTGGAAGGATCGCTTGAGGTCAGGAGTTTGAGACGATCCTGAACAAGAGTGAGACGCCATCTCTACCAAAAATAGAAAAAATTAGTCAGGTGCAGTGGTGTGCGCCTGTAATCCCAGCTACTCAGGAGGCTGAGGCAGGAGGATCACTTGTGCCCAGGAGTTGGAGGCTGCAGTAAGCTAGTGATGACACCACTGTACTCTACTTTGGGCAACTGAGAAAACTGTCTCAAAAAAAAAAAAAAAAAGAAGAAGAAGAACTAGAAGAGACAAAGAGAGACAAAAGACAAAGTTCATGATCATGTGATCATCTCATAGTAAATATGAGCAAACTAAAGCTCAGGTAAGTGAAGCAATTTGTCTACAGTCAAAAAGCTTCTTAGTGGCAACAGTGAGACTCAAAACCAAGTCTCCACACTCAAGTTTAGGGCTCACTACTTCATCACAATTCTCTCAGAAACATTATCTGCTTCATGGTTTCATTATGAAAAGCAAATGTCTAGTTCTGACCTAGCCTCTCTCCTGCATGCCAAGCTGTATGCTACCCCACCAACTCAATTTTCCACATTTCAAATTATATTTTTGATACTCTCCTTCCAGCAACATCTCCTCCAGAATAATGTAGTTTAGTTCTTATAATAGTGTAAATATTTTCCTAGTCACTCAGGTTCAAAGAGGTAAGAAGAATGAGATAGAAGAATGAGACAGGATGCACCTACTATGTACCAGGTACTCTGCCAGCTTATTTATCTCTATTATCTTACCGGTGAAGGAGAGTTGTCTCCATTTAGAAAAATAAGGAAATCAAGCTTCCAAAATGATTTGCCTCACCCTACCTCATCAACATAAGATATAATGCTGGAAACTGAACCGAAGTCTCTCTGACTTCAAAACCCATTCAGACATTGTCTATATGTCAACAAACAGATACATGTATCTTTGTATGTATACCTTGGTAATTTTAAAAAAATCAAGTATCTCATATATTGCTCTGTAATTTTCTTTTTGAAGGTGACAATGACTCTATGTTTCTGTGGCAGTTCCCTCATCTTGATCATTAGTAACAGTCTGGAGATAAATTTGACATATGAGTATTTTCAAGACACTCACTTTTTCTTGATTAGTAAGATAATATCTAAACTTCCAGACAAGATCTTGTTCTTCATACGTAAGTTGCTTGGTTGGTGGATAACTCACAATAATCTACAACAAAGAAGAAAAAGGACTAATTTTATCAACTCTATAATTCCTATATATTTCCAGTTCACCTACAATTTTTCATTTATTTAAATGTTTCTATAATAGAATTACAATACAAAGAAGGAAAATGTACATCCTGCCAAGTAAAACTTAAAATTGCTATACTCATCCATCCAAAAAGTATATTACTAGAATGTGAGAATAAAAAAGAAAGTCATACTCCATATAAAGTATATAGTTATGGAACTCATTTAATTCAACCAAAACTAAACAAACCAAAATAACAACACCCTCCATACACACCAAAAGAAGAAAAAAAACAAACAATAAACTCTTCACTTGTCAAGTCTATGTACATAACAATGCACATGTACATACAAAGTCCTCTCACAGGCAATGTCGTAGGGCCAGTTTCTAAGAATGCTATATAATGAAAGCATATACTATTTGTAGCTCTGTCTTCAGAGCTAATAAACTGACTAAAAAGCCCCCAAATGATAATAGAACTGCAGATATGTGAAATTGTTGACATTATGTCGGGTTCATTGACCTGGAAAAAATGTACATCTGAATAATTTTCAAGTGAAATGATATCGTGCCAGTCGTACCCAAAAATATGCATTTAATTATTTTTATATTAATATTTTATAAATTATCTTACATTTAATTGATCCCTTGTGGCAGCATTGGGTTTGAGATCACGATCAGAAGGTCCACTTCTTAAACTTCGAGCAAGCTTGTGGTGTTTGCTCTCAACTAAATTCTCCTATAAATTATTTAAAAATATTAATTGAGAATGCAAACTTTACCAAAAGGAAATTTCAATAGTGAGTCAGAAATATAAAAATAAATAGGTACTTACTTAAGACCACTTTATAATACTCACTGTTTTATTCTGGTACAACTTTAGTCTCCTATGTAACTTAAAAGTATGCACCCATTTCAAGACTGGGAAACTAAGTATGAATTCAACTCCCCCATGGCCATACTATGCATGTGCGTGCACATGCCATTCCAGTTTCTTAAAATGTCTGCCTTTCACTCTCCACATATTCAAGGTTTTCACATCCTCTATCCACTCAAATACCACCTTCACTCTAAAATCTTCCCTGGCAACCCAGACTAAAGCATTCCCTTTTCTTATCAGCTACTAGTGACCTTGTGACATCACTGTGCTGTCATCTTAACAGTTATTTAAACTGTCGGTTACTGAGGGCAGAGACAATGATCATAATGCTTGAATATACACATCTGGTGCTGTCTATTTTACTCATCGAAAAAATAATAAGTTTTAACCATATTGTCATATATGTGCGAATTGTCTGTTCATGTCTTTTTCCTAATTTTTGGTTAGCGTTATGGTCATTTGTCCTTTAATTTTTAAGAGTTCTTTACCATATCAGCCTTTTGTCTATGATGTATGTAGCAAGTATTTTCTCCCAGCTTGTTAAGTGTCTTTTGACTTTGATGGTGGTTTCTGCAATGCAAATTTTTTTAATGTAGTCAAATTTATCAATCATTTCTTTTACTGCCTCTGAATTTTGTATTATAGTTAGAAAGTCTTTCCTTACGCTGAAAGTACTAGTATGGTTTCATTCTTTTAACATTTAGATTCCTAATCCATTTGGAATTTTTTTTATATATAATATGAGGCATGGATCTAATTTAATTTAATTTTCCAAATTGGCTAATTACATTCCCCAGCACTATGCTCCAGTAATAAAATGCCACCTTTATAATATACTAAATTTCTGTACACACTTGGAAGCATTTTTCTGTTCAACCAGTCTATTTGTGTACATACATGCGTCAGTACCACACTATTGTACGTATAGAATTATACCCTGTTTTATTGTCTGATATAGTGGTATATCAGCTCAGCAGTACCCAAAGAATCCTTGTTGAAATATATTCCTCCATTCAGCAAATATTCATGGCTACAGGCTGAACTGAATTTTTGAGCATGGGGGGTGATGAGACCCGTTTGCTCTTTTTTTAATCTTTTGTTTTATGCTTGCTTGCTTTCATCTAAAAGTAAAAATTTTTAACAGGGGCCCTAGTTATTTTTTGGTTTTTTAGTTACAGCAATTACAATATAAAAAATAATTAAAACAACTATAATTGCTTATGGACATTTTCTTTAAAAAGAATATACTAAATACACAGACAACTCATTTACCTGACATTTTGGTATCAGAATTACATATAAGTGAAACCTATGATCTCAATATGAAAAAACTTGTTTACACTCAGTCTTTTTGAAGGTAAACTATAAAGTATATGCATCTGGGTTTGAATATCCAGAATGCAAAATACAATTTGATTTTATACTGAAATTCAGTGCCAATTTGAGATATATTAACTGGATTTTACTATACCATGCATAGAGACTACAAAGGTATTTAGAGTGTTTGTTCCTACAATATCCTCAAGTGACCTTTTTTCTAACTTTTCATACTCTACTTTTTTTCCCTTTATCTCTTGCTTTGATGTTAGGGCTTCAACTATTAGTTCCCGCTTTAATGATCTAATACTTACCTTGTCCAATGTGTTGCTTTTAATCTACTTTGGTCTGATTAGGGAGGTAACTAATCTAATTAGAAATGTATAAACTAAGAATAAAAAGGTTCAGAGTAATATGAAGAAGTTGTAATTGAATATTATGGATTCTATTGTGCTGCCAAAGGATTTCGTGCCTGGAACTTTCTAAATCTAAAGATGTCTAATTAAACTTCTATTGCAAAGTAAGAATTCTTACTTTTTCACATCCCTGAGAAAGAGCCATCATCTCGAAATTTTGTTAACAGGCAGGTATCTCATCATCACCCATATGTACCATGTTCCAAACTGTATAGTTCTAGTAGCTACAGTGATTTTTCTTATTTTACAACAAATCGGTCTCCCTATAATTTTCATCCACTAATTCAGATATAGAATTCTCCTGACAAATATTCCTTCTATAAGATGACCATCTTTCAAATACCAGTTTTGCCAAGTCTTCACTTCAAGACTACAATCCCTCACTCTTTCAATAATTCAAATAAAATGATTGCCCAACCCTACACCATCCTGATATTATTTTTAGGATGTTAATATTCCTTGTAAAATTCCATCTGAAACTGATTCCAGATAGTGGAAGTAAACTTACGAATCACTTCTGGATAACTGAGGTGGTTACATATTACTTTTTTTTTTTAAAGAACGTGCACGGTGTCGCTAAGTCATAATCACTCTAGAGAAAAGTGCTTTCATAAAAAACTTGCACAATAACTTACCATAGACATCTGGGGGTCAGGAACTTTCACTAATTCAAAGCTTGTTAAAATTGGAGATGACTCATCACCATCCTGGATTACAGCACAGTAAGTTTAAAAAAAAAAAAAGAAAATTTAACCAAATGGTAAGAAACAATACATGATACTGTACACTCCAATGTATTTTAATTCTATTTAATGAACATTATTCCTCTCTTTTAAAAAATCCTTATCTTCTTTCAACTACTATAAAATACATATCCACTTTTTACCTCTTTTGTTGCTGAGAAAATGTTTTAAGAAAAATAAAATCTAACAAAAATTTGTATTATAATAGTTTTATAGAAATGAGGTCTCAAAATTAGTAGATTGTTTTTGTTTGTTCTTTTTTTAATAATCTCATTCGTAATAATAGTAGATTAAAAAAAATGTGCTAATATTCAAACTCAGAACAAGAAACCATAGCTGATAATTACAATATGGCACAATGGATGTGTTGCATCATTTGCAAAAACTAAGTGGATGTTGGTAACTTTTTTAAGGTACCACAATTAAGATCCATTCAAAGGAGCAGAATTTTAAGTGGGGGGGTTAATATTACTCAAATTTATACACAGCTAGAGAAGCAGCACCATTGCTTCTCAAAGGGACAGGTACTCAACACAATCCAAACTTGAATAACAAAAATCAATCAATTTTTAAGAAGTAAAGCTGACTTATTTTGTTAGTATTATCAGTTTTGAAGAATGTGGCTTTTATTTTTATCCAGTTCAGGCAAGAAAGGTAATTCAGCATAATAAATGTCACTGCCAAATATACTGGAATAGGCTAAACTAATGAAGGTCAAAATTCATTTTCTCACGACTGTATGCACATCAAGCTTTTCTATCGCTTTCCAAATGTGCGTATATATTCAATTTTAGATACGTGCAACAAAATCAGGAGACACTGAGAGAGGGGAAACACTGTGACTTTACTTCAGTTCAGTAATTGAGTCTTACAGAAAACCACAAATTCCCACAGCCGTTGTTTAACAGACTTGTTCTCAGTCACAACACCAGAAAACACATTTATCAGCCCAACTATGACAAGTAATCTTCACTAAGGCTATCTGTCACAAAAGACAGGTGACAAGAAAGTCTATTTCTATTAGCTTCAATACACTGGCCCAGCAATCTTTACACTAAGTGGAAATATGACAGGGTGGGTAGACAGGCATTAATTTATGAGCAATTTTCAGGAAGTAATAGAAAGGGGTCAAGAACCTTTTCAAAAACACTTGAAATTCTTCTAATTTCTATTCTATTATTATTTCATCTGCTATCAAAGCTGTCTTTCAAAAGACCCTTCACATCTCTGATGTTCAAAAGTACCACCTCTATTAGCATGATTTTGCAATATTAACTCTATAGGGGCAGAAAATATTGCTTTCAATGAAATTACATATAGTATAAGAGATTTTATTAAAACGTACTTGTGACAAAACAATTTCTCACCTATTTTCCCTTTCTGATACGGTTTTTCTAATAAATTAACAAACAATGTTAAATCATCTATCTTCGTAGTTTCTTTTTCCCCCAAGGAGTATCATTTATAAAATAAAAGGCTAAAATAAGTTAATATTTCCTACTCTTTTACTACAATAAAAGGGCTATAAGCTAAAGGAAAAAAATACATAAATATTAACTTGAAAAAATGGTCATAAGTTAACTATGGTCATAAGTTAACTATACAAACCCTAAACCTTCATTATAAAAGCCTTTCTAATAGCCACTTGTAGTTATAAAATTATATATTTTTTAAAAATCACTTGGGACAGCTTGAACAAATAATACTAAACTGTAAATGTAATTTAAAAGGGCTGCTCCTAATGAACAAATATACTGCATATAAGCTTGGTTATATGCCAGAAGAAATATTAATCCACTATCACTCCACGTATCAAAAGTCTGCCATCATTTGCACTGATTTAAACACTTGTCTACTATTTCCACTATAATAGAAGATACCTCGTTTATGTGGTTTCATACCATGCATACAATTATTTCTACGGTACTTAAATGAAGCCCCATCAACAAGCATTTATAAGGCAGTTTTTTTCAAGTAGCTATGTACCAGACACAGAACTACTTTCTTTTGCATAATCAGCAGACCACAGCAAATCCATAACTGCCTATTTGTTATTACTCAGCCTGATGGTAACATGATTTTCTTACTTTTACATACACTATATAAATAAATGAACATTTATGAAGTCATTAATAAGCATACTTATGTTAGGGCCATGTAGAGAATTCCAACACATTACATACATAGTCAACAAACATACCCTTAACTTTCCACAGCTTACCACGTAAAGAATAAGATTTCTTCTTTTTACATTTCAAATGAATAATAACTGTAAATAAAGCTATTGCTTTAGTGACCTACTTGCCAATTTGCAGAACAATTAATCAAAAAGTTTTTAATCACTTGCATACTTATTGACTTATTGAATTCCATAACCCAGAACCACATTACATGAATGATTGGCTTTTGTAATCTTGTTGCAGCTATATGATTTGATTTGTATGTACATAAACAGCTGCTGCTGACAGCTGTCTGCTGCTATCCTGCAACCAAATAATTCATCTCAGCAGGAATGACAGTAATTTTTTTTTTAATGTTTTCCCTCCCCTCTACTTTAGAGACCAAAAACATTTCTAAGGCAAATACCTTTTCATAATAAACAATACCATATTCCTTATCATCACACTTGACACATCGAAACTCAACCATCAAGTACATGAAATTAGAACTTCGTTTTTCACTCTAAAAAAAACAAGAAGAGATTTTCATAAAAAAATCATTTTCAACATTATCTTATCAGTATGTGTCATTTTTCCCAATTCAGTAATACATGTATATATCAAGTTCAAGTTAAAACAAATTTTTATTTCATTATATACATGTAATATTTTATACAGCACTATTATTTTATTATATACAGCACTCCTGTCTTATTCAGTAGTGTACTTACAGCTGCCTCCTCAAACTTAACATTTTTGATTTACTCAGTAATTTGGATTTTATTACATAAAATCTTAAAGGTATTTTGCATACATTAGCAAGAGAACTATTTTATTCCAAAAATAAAAGATGTTTTCTACTTCTAACGATTTTAAGCAAAGTTCACCCTTAAACTAGTATGACTAATCCAACTACAGAAATAAATGTAACCAAAATTAAAAGTTAAAAAAAAAAGTGTGCAACTAAGGACAGAGGCCATCTGAGCTTACCAAGTATAACCTTTAAAAGTTTTTCACAATTTATAAATGGTCTTAAAATGATTTGTCATTTGTAAATTTTTATCCACACTGGGGAATAATTATTTCTTTCCTCAACATAAAAAAATGCTGCTTCTTTATATAAATGTGTCCCCTTAAAAAAAAAGCAAAACATAGTCATGCTCAACAACAGGAACATACTCTAAGAAATGCATCATTATGCAATTTTGTTGTTGTGCAAACATCATAGAGTGTATTACCTAGGCTACAAACCTACACTGCATGTTACTGTACTGAATACTGAAGGCAATTATAACATGATGGTAGGTATTTGTATATCTAAACAGAGAAAAGGTACAGTAAAAATATAGTATTATAATCTTATGGGACCACCATCATATATGTGGTCTATGGTTGACCAAAACGTCATTATGAGGCTCCCTGATGGTTCTACGTGGATGATGAAGTGCAAATACAATGAAGTCTAAAGGGTGATTAGTCTTGACCCGAAACAGCTTTACAAATGGCTTTAAGTCTAACGCACACAATCATAAATTGTTCAGCTTTATAAAGTATATTACAGTCTACTGTGGTAATGGTCTCCTATCTTTTAAAGAGTAGAGGTGGGGAGGGTGAGAAAGGCTGGGCAAAGTAAACTCTAACATTACATTTTCTACCCCCAGAGGTATCTAAGTTGAAGAACAGAAAAATATAAGCATTTTGATTAAACTCTTTTTGGAATGTGACTATTATAAAAATTACAAAAAGTAAATCCTTCTTCCAGTTTGAGTATATGAGAATGTATTATGAATAAATTTAGAAAAGATACCAAATATTCAAATTGAATATAAATTTTGTTAAACAGCAATACATTCATTTAAAAAAGAACAATGGTAAAATCTAACTCTTAGGACAGTTGACTGTAAAATTAAAAACTTCTCTCTCTTTCCACCTGCTGAAAACTATTTGGAGAATATAAATTAAATCAGCTGTGCCTTAATGGTGGTCATTTTGAGTCAGACACATCACAAAATTGATATCCTTCTCTCCTAATTTCACTAACACGATTATTAATTCTGTTCTCTAGGCACAGAATGTTAGGCCAAACGTCTGGTATTTTAGAGAAAATATACAAAAAAAAATTCTTTTTGTTATAACTTTAGAAAAGAATCTCATTGGAGTCATCTTTAAACATACACACTGGCCCAATACGTGGGGACAAGGAAAAAAATTACTAAATCAAGTAACACTATTAAGGGTGCAGAGTCCTGTATGCAGTACATAAGACAAGCAATATATTAATTGGAGGCAGAACTTGCTAAAGATAATTTATGGTAAGTGAAATGAAAAGCTACCTCTATGCTGATGGCAGATTTATTCAACACTGACTTGAACTTGAACATGAGATGCCATTAAAGAGAACACACAAGGTGAGGCAACATCCCCGAAAGGGCTTCACTTACATATTTAGTACATCTTAGGATATCAACTACCTACCTCATGATCTGACATTACATTTAATAATAAGAAAGGTAGATATCCCGAATTTTCCATTTATCAGCATAGAATTCACAGATACAGAGGTTAACTTGATAATCTCACATTTCTGAGATACCCAACAATAAACAATTATCAAAAAATTGTTAACTTAGAAACCTGGAGAAAATATTTTAAAATAAAAAAGGATACAACTCACCTCATTTATCATTTCTATTTCTCTAAATGTCAATCTGTCCAGCCAATCTACTTTCACCATGTGTCCCTGTCGATGAGCTTTCGTAAGCTGCAGAACAAATACAATGGGGAACATTTTAATATAGTTCTAACAGAAAGGAAAATAAAGGATGGTAATGTCAATTTCACATATGATATATTCCTATACACAACAAAAACCATATACAACTATCAGGATAAGAAATTTGGCAAGAGGTAAATCGTTTTTTTTAAAGTAAAACATTTTTCTAAAAAAAGTCCATAATCTGCCATGTTTTGACATGCTAAAAAATAATGAAATCTTTCCTGAAATTATCCCCATTTTATATTTTTTATATTTTGACCATTAAAAAGGGAGGAAATTGTAATAAGAACAGTTCCTTGAATGGGAAATAAGCCACTGTTTCTCTTTGCTTCCCATGTTTCAATCTAACAAACATTATGAAAAATGACAGTTACAGACAGTAAGGCATTTCTCTGGAACTTATAAATTAACACTCTAAGGTTTAAACTCCATACATATGCACACATGCTTTAATTTTAGGAAACAGTGATAACAAAGATTTAACTTTGTAGTATAGTAGTTGGTAGAATCCTATGAGGTCCTACATACCAATCTACTCTTAGTTTTATAAATTAAATAATAATACATCGACTCTTCAAATCCACAGAGAATTCAAGATAAGTCTCAAGGTCTGAAATTAGAACTAAGTTCTGTAGTGAAAGTATAATATTAAACATCAGCTTTATTAATGTATCAAAACTCACTTTCTAAAAAAAAAAAAAAAAAACTCACTTTCTTTCTTAACAAATTCACAGCATAAAGCAAAACTGGGCATTAAAGCGTTACATACTAGCTTATCTGTGTCAGTTGTCTTCCTCTTCATTGTCCACGTCATGACAACATTCCTACAAGGACGCCAAACACTGACACCAATTATTACCTCTCTCACAGAACAGAATGTGATGAGGCCTTTTTTTCTCCTTCACTAAATTATTCAGACAAATCAGAAATGTTCTAAAGTCATTTTCATGGGCCCCAGAATTTATGTTTGCTGCTAATGTGTGTTACTTCCCACATAGCGTATGCTTAGCTTTCCTATTTCAATATCAAATATGACCTTTCTCAATCTTACGAAGAGCTACCAAAGAATGTAGCTAGCATGGCAATACTAAAATTGGTAAAGCCACTTGGTGGACAAGTTTAAATTATCCTCAACACATTCACATTTGTGCACCACTATTTGCAATACAGAAAAATTAGACATACAAGGAAGCAAATGTCCATCAATAGCGGAAACTGCTCAGTAAACTATGGTACACACACACTATGAAATACTATAATCAAAAAGACTGAGGAAAATCTATATGCCTTGATGGGGAAAGATATTGTTGAGTGTAAAATGACACAACTGTTTCATTTATGTTATGACAACTATTTACATGTTTGTCTCCTGCACCAGGCTTTGAGATTGAGAGCAGAAATTCTGGATATTTCTCTGTTTTAGTTAATCTTATAATTTCAGAAGAACTGAATAGTTACCACTCAAAATGTCTCCCTAGCCACTGTCCTATTTACCTAACACTACATGACAAACCACCCCAAAACTTAGTGTCTTAAAACACTCATTTTATTATTTCTCATGATATTTGGAGAAATCATCTTCTTAAGGGACATTTGAATAATTTTTTCTATTGGTCTCACATATAACCCCTTGAGAGTCTGTGACTCAGTCATTTGGTGGCTGAAGCTGAGATATCCAAGATGGCTTTACTCGCATGTCTAACACCGAGTGGAAAAGGGAGGGCTTAGCTGGGATAACAGGGTGGTGGGGTCTCTCTTTTTCTCCATGTATTCTCCGTGCTGCTCCCTCTCCAAGTGGTTTCTCAACATGGTAACTCCAACGGAATAGCTGAATTTCTTACATGGTAGCTCAATGTTCCCAAAAAGTGCAGAAACAAAAGCTGTCATGCTCTATTGCCCGGAACGGACACAGCATCACTTCTGCTGCACTGTGTCAGTTAAAATGAGTCACAGCACAGTATAGATCTAATGTGGAAGAATGTGACTATCAGGAGGCATGGTTCATTGAGGGTCACCCTTAGTGACTGGCTAGAGCACAGGACTTATTAAACATTTATCAGAGTCCATGCACATAACACAATTGATTGTTTGATTACAAAGGAGCAAGTGGGTGGATTTTGGAGAGGGCAAAGTCAGCCCCTGGCTGGACTTTAGGCAACAGGGAAAGCCTAGAATTAGCTATGACAACTGCTAAATGATTAGCCCCTGTCTTCTTCTACAAAAAAATCTAACTCTCTAACTAACTCAGTATACTACAGTCTCTTTTCAGTTCTTCAAACCATAAGCCCTTTTACTTTTAGGGCTCAATGCAGATTAAACAAGTATTTATTAATAATTGGATTAAAAATATTATTAGAAATTTTATAAAATTTTATGAAATTATAAAGCATTACACAAGTTATAAGCAGGTACCCTAATTAGCCCATAATCGATGTCACCGCATCTCTTGTAGGTGCTGATAATAATGTAGACAGACTTGGGTGGTTTTCACCAGTACAAAGCAGCTTCTAGTTATCCCCAATCCAGGAACTTCTATAGACACTACAGACCAAAAATGAACTTTAAAACATAGATGACAGTACTGACCTACTATTTTATTACTGGCATAACAATTTATATTTCATTCTGGGCCTGAAATGTCAGTGACCTACATCTTTCCAAAGAGAAAATCTGCATTCTGTTAAGCAGCAGGGTAAAAGTAATTCAATCTGTTTCTATTGCTTATGAAGAAATAATCCTCACTAGGATGCTCATTCTAGGAAGGAGACAGGTCAAGAAATTGGTTAAAAAGTGACATTCTCTCTTTTTATGGAAAATAGGTTTCTACAGAATTCACAAGAAGTCATATAGAGTTTGGGAAGAAAAACCCATTGTCACAAAAAAGGCATAACTAAGCCCTAACTGAACTTCTCCAAGAATTAAACATCAAGGGGTTTTAAGAGCTATTTAAATAAGAAGGTCTCCAAGAACCATATAAAAACACGCCCAGTAAATTTCCTGGAGTACTAACCATGCATTATCAGATTTAATGGAATAATAAAAATATGTGCTTGAGGAAGATGTCTTAGAATAGGAGTTGTTTAATAAAAGTACCAAGGACAGAGCTAAAAGTAGGCCAACTTGCAGCACTGCACACAGACTTAGAACAGGGAAAATGAATGTCAAAGCAGAGCATGATCTCGGAAACAGACAGATGCCCAGACCACCACAACTCACAGTTCATCGCTCCTTATTCTTATCTCACTATACTATAAGCTTCGTGAGTGCTAGAGCTCTAAATGGTTGACAGAACCTAGCACTTATTCATTCAATGACTATTTATATTTACTGAAAGACTTTCTATGTGGATAGGTGACAGAATAGAAAACAATGCTTGCATACTTTGGAATTCTGCCCAACAGCTTTGGGGATTTAGAGGAGAAGAATTAAGGGAGGAAGAGACTAACACTCAAAAGAAAGCTGGAGGGAAGAAAAATGATTCCTGCCCTTGGTTAATTTTCCCTAGTATTTATACACTTTGAACATAAATATATGTTACTCGATTGCTACTGTAACAAACTACCATCATGTCCACTGCCCTCACAGAACTTCAAGGTGGAAAGGGGTGAGTCATTCATATGGTAAGCACTTAAAAGTGGAACTGTAAATTGAAACAGTGACATGAAAGTAATAGTGGGAGTGGGGGGAGGTCCTGAGAAGGTGTCTCAGACAGGTAACATTGAAGCAGACCTGAAAGATAAGGAATTAGCCAAACAAACAGGACGAAACCTTCCAGCAAGAGGAAATCACTTGTTTGTCAGCACATCAGTAAACTCAATGTGCTCAAGTATTATAGAGACCAGAATCATAGACCTCAATAACTATTTACTGAATAAATCAAGTTTCGTTCAGAGTGGAGAGTGAGAACATCTACACATACATAAGATGCTACACTGGGAATCAGCTTTCTTAAGGTTCATCATGATCTAGATTTTTACACTGGAAAGAGTAAGGAGGACTGAAAAACAATACTTATCTGTTTCAAGTCTGTCTAAAATTCTGTGGGAAGTAAATGGGGAGAAAGAGACAAAAAGACATAGAGACACATACTGACTCAAAAGAAAACTGGAGAGAAATGATTTCTGCCTTACAAATTTTGCCTTGGCCAGCTTCTTTCATATTCATATACCTACTTCATCTTTTCTTAAAATTAATTTTTTTATTTGAAAATATGAGTGGGTACAACCGTTCTTGTTACGTGGATGAATTGTACAATGCTGAAGTAAGGGCTTTTAGTGTGCCCTTCACCGGAATAATACATTGTACCCGATAAGTAAGTTTTTACCTCTCACACCACTCCCTCTCTCAGACATCAATCAATATACATTTATTAATATTAAACAATGCCAGATACATGGTTCAAGTTCACAGATTCTATAAAGAGTAGGTTAGTTTTGTTATTAAGAGATGGTACAATTGTTCAAGTAGGATAATATCTAGTTATGAAAACAAAATAAGCACATAAGATAGAATATTAACTGATGAAATGAAAGAATTTGATCCTGACTTTACGCAATCACATACTCACTTTTCATATCAAACCAACAGGAAATTTAAAGTAGATACTGGCTTTTTAACAGCAAAGGTTTGCAAGCATTTTTAATATCCAAACACAGAAGATTGCTGAAATGAATTATGGTATATCCACCCTACGCAAAACCCTCCAGCCTTTACAAACGAGGTTACAGAAGTATCTTAAATGATCTGGAACAATTTTGAGACACTAGTAAGGGTAAAAGCAGGATTCAATTAAACATACACACACATTATAATCCCAACTTAAAAATAAATGCACACACATTCATACATACTATATATACTTATATATTAAAATATCAATGATAGTTATCTTTGGGTGTGGATTAGGAGTGATTTTCACAGTCATCTTCGTGCTTTAACAATATTCTACCACTGTAGAAGACGTATACTATCTTTGTTATAAGAAA